TGGATCTTTGGCCTGCCACACTTTCCATTATTCTGCTATGCATTTTCTATTGTGGGAAAATGGGAGTTGGGGATTGTATGGAGTGAGATGCTATGTAGCCATAACAACATTCTTTCTAGAAAGCCAAGGTCTTCATCCTTAGTCTTTGCATCTCTGCACCTGACCGGAACTGGATGGGTAGAAGCTGCCAGGGTGGCAGTGGGAGATTGGACCATGGGATGGACTGGTTGGTGGGTGTGGGGGGCAAGATCTTGAACTTTCAACTGGGTGGGGAAAACCAGGAAGCTTTCAGATTCGGGTTTCCCCAGATGTGCCAACATGGCTCTCCTCATCAATTGGAACTTTGAGGAATCTTTTGCCTGGGACTCAGATTTAATTTTGGATGCTATTTGGAAGCCTGACACACACCCCTGTGAGGTAGCATGGGCTGAAAAAGTATGGTTGGTCTTGGTGGGCTTCCACGGGACGAGAACCTGGGTTTGCCTGGAGCCTTAACTCTGTCATGGGGGGGCCTCTTACCAGGCCCGACTCCATGGCCTCGTCCCTCTCTGCAACCCAGAGCTCACCTACCTCTTACGACTTCACCGAGTAGAAGGTCCTGTTGTAAGGAGTCCTCCAAGGAGCTGTGTTGAACCCGGCATGACAACACTGACCCCATATCTTCTTGTCTGAGAAAGATGTCCACCGTGCTCTCCACGCGGTACCGGATGCCACGGTTTGTAGTATAATTCAGGACGTCGATCTTGGCAGGCTGTATTTCTTCCCTATCCTTCAACCAGACGACTGTGATTTCTTGGGAGGGGAATTCTTTTGCAGAACAATTGAAAGAAACCTGGGACCCCGCCGTGATGTTGTTTGAAGGGCCACGAAGCAAAGGCTGGGATGGATGGGCTGAGAAAGGAAGCATGAAGGCATCAGCTGATGTTCCCTCCTACCTCGAATTCCCTGAGGAATTATTCTTATCCAACACATCTCCCAGAGGCTAAAGAGGATGGATATTGTTTCCCAAATTCCTTAATCTTCAAAGTTTTTAAGAGTTTCATTAAAAAAAAATACATAGGGTAGAAGAACTCCTGGCCTGAGCTGGACTAGAAGATCTCAAAGGTTCCTTCCGGTCTTATGGCTCTCTGTCTTCTAGAAGTGGTGGACTACCAATCCCATCTCCCGGAGAAGGGCCAATAATGAGATGTGCAGATCAAAATACTGAAAGGGAGCCACGTCAGAGAAGGTTGATCTTGCCTTTTAATATGTCACCTCTGTACCTTGGGGGACCAAAGAGATTTTGTAGTACACCTCTTTCTAAGGTAAGAAGCTGTCTGTATGTAATTACATCCTGTTTTTGTACTATATTTATGTTTTCTATTGCGTGTCTAGGAATTGCCCACATGGGCATCTTATCATTTAGTTTGTATTGATATTTTTTCCAGACCCGCAATAGAGCATTCCTTAAAATATGACTTTTAAAGTTCTTATCTACCTTTTTGTCATATAGCAAGTAAGCATGCCAACCGTATACCAAATCATGCCCTTCGATATTAAGTATTCTATCATCTGTTAAATTAATCCAGTCACTAATTACCGATAAAACTACTGCTTCATAATATAGTTTTAAATTGGGTAATTTCAATAGCAATAGCAGTTAGACTTATATACCGCTTCATAGGGCTTTCAACCCTCTCTAAGCAGTTTACAGAGTCAGCATATTGCCCATAACAATCTGGGTCCTCATTTGACCCACCTCGGAAGGATGGAAGGCTGAGTCAACCCTGAGCCGGTGAGATTTGAACAGCCGAACTGCAGAACTGCAGTCAGCTGAAGTGGCCTGCAGTGCTGCATTTAATCACTGCGCCACCTCGGCTCTTAATTTCAAACCTCCTCTCTCACGCACATCTTGCATTATTTTTAGTTTTATTCTCGGTTTCTTCCCTGCCTATACAAATTTATTAATGCCTTTCTGCCATTCTAGCAAATTTGCATCTTTTTAAAGTATTGGTATCATTTGAAAAAGAAATAAAAATTTAGGTGGGACCAAAGAGGTTTCGAAGGGGAACCCATTGGGAGAGCACAGCCTAACCCCCCCCCTCTTCTTCTCAGCCACTCTGGTTGAGTTGGTGGCATTAATTTTGGTTACTTTGGATGAGAGACATTGAAGATTCTCAACTGGAGAAGGACGGGACAAGCAATTCTGCCGGGAAACTGCCAACCAAGCGGGAAGGAAGGGATTAAGCGAGGGCCTAGCCTGGAATCCTTGCGTAGCCACATGAGACATAAGCTTGACTTCCCCCAAGACCTATGAAAGCTCATGTGATTGTTCCCAGGCAAGCCATTTGTGGAGATAAACGTCAAGTGCAAGCAACCAGAGCCACAGGTGAATAATCAAAATTAGTAACCTTTTTGTCTACTTCTTCTAGTATATGCTTGCTTTCCCTTGGGAAAGACCAAATAAGGCTTTGTGGATCTTGGGGGAGGCGAAGATTTAGAGTGGAATGGAGTGATGTGGTGCGATGCAGAACGGAAGAGAAGAACAGAAAAGAAAAGAAAAGAAGAATGGAGTGGAGTGGAATGGAAGAGAAGAATAGAACAGAACAAAAGAATGGAGTGGAATGGAAGAGAAGAACAGAACATAACAGAAGAATGGAGTGGAATGGAGTGGAGTGGAATGGAAGAGAAGAACAGAACAGAAGAATAGAGTGGAATGGAGTGGCGTGGAAGAGAAGAGAAGAACAGAACAGAACAAAAGAATGGTGTGGAATGGAGTGGAATGGAAGAGAAGAACAGAACATAACAGAAGAATGGAGTGGAATGGAGTGGAATGGAGGAGAAGAACAGAACAGAAGAATGGAGTGGCGTGGAAGAGAAGAGAAGAACAGAAGAATAGAGTGGAATGGAGTGGAGTGGAGTGGAATGGAAGAGAAGAATAGAACAGAACAAAAGAATGGTGTGGAATGGAGTGGAATGGAAGAGAAGAACAGAACAGAACAGAAGAATGGAGTGGAGTAGAATGGAAGAGAAGAACATAACAGAAGAATGGAGTGGAATGGAGTGGAGTGGAATGGAAGAGAAGAACAGAACAGAACATAACAGAAGAATGGAGCGGAGTGGAATGGAAGAGAAGAACAGAACAGAAGAATGGAGTGGAATGGAGTGGAATGGAAGAGAAGACAAGAACAGAACAGAAGAATGGAGTGGAAAAGAATAGAGTAGAAACTTTATTGTCACTTTAAATGTACACTCACAAGCATACATTAAAATGAAATTCATTGCATTCAGCTCCCAAAAGATAACCATTATGCATATACACCCTCCACCACCACCATACACACAGATACGACACAGAGAAAGACCACAATCTAGTTCGAATGTATACCTATCCATGGCAGGGGAAAAAAAAGAAACCTGTGAATTTACAAGACGGATGGCCTAAGGAACAAACCTGCCTTTTGCCTCTTGTGACTGCGTAAGGACTCCAAGCTACATCCCTGCTTGGCTTCTCCTTCCAGCCTGACTGGCAGTTTCCCATCAGATTCACTCCACGAGTTGTCTAGAGTCGATCACACCTCAATAGCAATCACCTACCAATCACAGAGACCACTGTTTTTGCTCTGATATCTTTTCTGCCTTGGGGAATTTCCTTGACCATCGAGCAGCAGTAAGTCCCGCTGTCTTTGGGGCCGATGTTCTTCAGCCTGACACTGAAGTCAGTTGGCGATCCCGGGACGAACCTCTCCCAACGAGAAAACTTGTCACTTTCCCTGTAAATTATCTTCTGGTCATTGCCCAAGTCTTTGTACCATTCGACGCTTGATGGCACGTAGCCCTGGGTCAGGATACAGATGAGAATGAGGGTCTTGCCTGCTGTGATTGTCACAGCTTCTGGATTCGAATTGGGGCGCCCACCAACTGAAAAAGAAAACGGCTTCTAATTATTATTATTATTATCATCATCATCATCTATTTATTTTTATGAATGGCCACAGTTCTAGGCTGTCCTAATAGAAGGTTAGACTCAACATCACGGGAGGTGCCGATACCACTTTATAAGGCCTTGGGAAGGCCACACTTGGAATTCTGTGTCCAGTTTTGGTCACCATGATGTAGAAAAGATGTGGAACTCTGGAAAGAGTGCAGAGAAGAGCAACAAAGAGGATTAGGGGACCAGAGGCTAAAACAGATGAAGAACGGTTGCAGGAACTGGGTATGTCTAGTTTAATG